TCCTCTCTCTGCTCCTCTCTGCTGCTCTTCTGTCCTGTTCCTTTCCACTCCTGCTCCTGCTCCTGGCAGGACAGGAAGGGGATTCAGGATTCCCCTCTTCACTGGCTCCTACAGAGAGCTGTGAGCACAGTGCCTGCATCGTGAGCCTCTGGGAGCCCAAGGGAGGCACTGCTTCTCCAGCAACAGTGCGTTCTGCTCCTGCCTCTTGGCTTCCAGGGAAGCTTGAACTGCCTGGATCCAGCCCAGAGTGCTGCCTGCCCATCACTGTGTCCATCACTGGCAAGCAGTGGTGGGTGATGTCCAAGCGAGCCAGGTGGTGTGGATTGCCTGGATGGCGTTTCTGTCAGGATTTCCTTGCATTGCAGGAAGGACTGATGTGGCAGTGCAGGTTGTGCTCCTGCCTTGCATGTTGTGTTCCTGTTGTGGGTTCATTTACCTCCTGCTGGCCCCTCTGTGCCCCATGGGCCCCCAGCCCTGCCAGGGCTGAGTTGCACAGGGCCAGTTGTGTCCCTGCATTGCAGGAGTGCTGGGATATGAGGCAGGACAGTACAGTCTCCATCCCCACCAGGTTCTGGCTGCCTGGTACGATTCCATGGGGAAGGGCTCAGCGAAGCCAGGCTAGCTGGGGAGGGGAGTGGTGGGTCACAAGAGAGAGACCCTGCTCAGTGCTGGAGCTGCCAGAGCTCCTGCCCTTCCCTGCCGTGGAGTAATCCTGGGGCAGGTTTGTGCAGGGCTGTTGGTGCCCTGGGCAAGGGGCTGTGCTGAAAGCAGGCTGGTGTTGGGAAGGCAGCCCTGGGAGGGCTGGCTCTGGAGCCAGGGGAGCAGTGACAGCAGAAGCCAGGCCAGGGTGGAGGCTGGGGGATCTCACACTTGGGGGCTCTGCCCCTGAGGGGCCCAGGCTTGGCACTGCCCCAGCAGCAAGGGGCAGCCCAGCTGCGTGCTGGGCCATGCCCTGCTCTCTGTAGCACACGGCCTCTGCGTGTGCAGTGGGTCTGTTTGTGAGATTGGACTGGTATCTAGGGCAATACAACAATTGGTGTGCAGTAGGTTGTTGTTTGTAAGGTTGAACTGGTATTTAGTGCAGTACAACTGTTGTTGGTGTGCGGTGGGTCATTGTTTGTGGTGGATCATTGTTGGCTCATTGTTTGTAGTGGGTCGTTGTTGGTGTGGGGGTCACTGCCATGAGGTGCTTGTTGATTGCACTGGTTTGTTGGTGTGCTGTGGGTCACTGTACTGGGTCATTGTTGGTGTGGGGGTCACTGCCATGAGGTGCTTGTTGATTGCAGTGGGTTGTTGTTGGTGTGCAGTGGCAGTGCCCATGGGGGTCAGCCCATCCTGGGCAGCAGGGGAGGTGGTGGGTGGCTGTTCTGTGGTGAGGTAGAGCAGCTGGAGCCCTCAGTGAGACAGACCTGGCTTGGTTCCCCTGCTGCTGCCTGCGAGGGCTGGTCCTGAGAGGGGCCGGACAGCCTCCTGTGCCTGGACCCCTGGGTTCCTTTCTCCAGGATCCACTCAGCAGGGCAGGGTGATTCTTCACCTGCAGGATGATTCTTCACCTGCAGGATGATTCTTCACCTGCTTCTGTGTCTCTGTGCTGCTGACAGGGCCTGGCCTTGCCTGCTCTGCTGGAGGCTGTGTTGGCTTAGTGGGATTAAGGCATTCCATGGTGTTCCTGTGTGAAATGGGGAGAATTGGGACCGAGAGAGGCCCAGCTCTGCAAACACAACCTCTGTTCATCCTTTCTGGGCTTTGCAAGGAGGAGATGCCAAACCTCTGCCTGGTTCAGGAGTAAGCACAGGAACCAGTTCACAGCAGCAGCAGCTCGCGAGGAGAGCCTGGAGCAGAGTTCCCATGGGACATCCAGGTCCATGCTGGGCTCAGGACTGGCACCTTTTCTAGCCAGAGTTGCTAGAGGTGGTTCCACAGAGATCCTGGCAGTGTTCTTACAGGAACATACTGGGGAAATGGTGTTTGCCAGGTGGACACTATCTTGTTCCAGCAGATACCAACATGTGGCTCGTGGGGAAGGGCTTGTTGGGGGTCCATAGTGAGGTCAGCACTACACTTTGGCACATTCCTGCTGTGACCCTAGGCCACAGGGAGTGATGGCTTGGTGCCACCAACAGGGAGAGGAGCAAAGACTCTCCAGAGGTGTGGCTCTGTATCAGAGATTCAGGACAGGGCATGGTTGCTCTGGTATGGAGCTGCCCCTTCTGGAAGATGGTGGAGGTCTCAGTGCTTACTGTCTTTGAGAGGCAGTGGGGCAGTGGGGCCTTTAGCTGGTTTCCCTCTTAGACCCCTCGTTGGTCCTGCCCAGCCCTAGGAGCAGAGCAGCTGTTGGGTTTGGGGCTGTGGGTGGCACGTGGGCAGGATCTGCTGCCCGGCTCTGTGGCCAGCCCTGGCTTCCCTGGGCACGGCTGGGCACGGCTGGGCTGGGCTGGGCTGGGCTGGCACGGTTGGTGCTGGGGCTGCTGGCAGGTCACCTTGGGACAGCTGGGAGAGGAGCTGGGCTGTGCTCACCCTGCCAGGGCTGAGGGCAGCAGGTGCTGTGGGCTGCAGGCTCACCCAGGGCTGCAATCGCTGTGATCCACAATCCTTCCTGCTCTCTGTGAGCACAGAACAAGCACTGGGAGGCACTGACAGCGCACAGTGGGCTCTGGGGCTTGCGTGGAGCCAGGGAGCAGCAGGCACGGCTGGGAGCTGCAGAGAGAGAAGCACTGGCAGCCTTGGCTGAGGAGGGATGTGTGTTGCTGCCACAGGGTGCTTGGTTGTCACTTGTCACTGCCTTCTGCAGCACAGCACCTCTGGGTGACCTGATCTGTCTCCCTTGTGCACATCTGGAACAGATGGAGCTCCCCAAGGGGACAGGTGAGACCGTGGGTGTTGGGGCCCCCCGCACCCTCCAGGCAGGTGGTGCCTCTGCCAGGGCTGCTGTGTGCCAGGGACTCAGCTCGGTGTGCTGGAGTGTCCTTTTGGGGACGGTCCTGCCGGGCTGAAGGGTTCCCTGGTAGCTGGACACTTGTCCCTGAGAAGTGGGTTAATGAGGCCGGGAGAGGAAGCTTCCTCAGCTGTGTGTGAGCGGGAATGAGCTCCTGATTGCACATCTCCAGATCCTTGTGGGAAGGCTGCGTGGGGCGTGCTGGCAGCCCCAGGCTGCCCTGGCCCCTGGCCTGGCTCCGCTCGGGCCGTGCGCTCCAGCGGGGCCCAGGGCGGGTGACTCCTCCTCCTTGGGAGCCGGGATCATGCTGGGAGCTTAGATTACATTTAAATTGCCATTTGCATTTTCCAATCAATACGCGACTTCACAATTAAGTTTGGTGTTAAAATTCTTAGCAAAAAGTGAGTGGAAGGGAGATTTGTGGAGTAAACGAGTCCTCTGGGGGCCATCACCACTCCCTGCTTCATTACGCTGCATATTGCTGCTGCTGCTTTTAGTGAGCACAGCCCGGCCCAGCTCAGCCCAGCACGGCACAGCCCGAGCAGTGCCGGGAGGGGAGCGGGGCTGGGCTCCGCTCTCTGTGTGAGTGACAGGGGACGGGATCTGGGAGAGTTCCTGCCTGTGGGTCCTCCCAGGGGTGCACAGGGGAGCGCCGTGTGCCAGCACAGGGCTCTGGGGCATGAGGAGCCTGCCTGGCACTTTGTGGGCAGCAGCATGGGCACTCAGCCTGGGCTGTTCCCCTGCACAAAGGGGCTGCAGTGCCGGGCCCTCCTTCCAGCTCTCGCTGTGGTTGTGCTTCAGCTGGCCAAGCTGCAGGTTTGGGGCTGACCTGAGGGCTGCACGCTGTTCTCTGCAGGCACAGAGCAGTTTGGGGCAGCTGGCAGGGCTGGAGTGGGTGTTCTGTAGCATCAGGGGGCATCAGGTTGCAGTCACATGGAGGGGAGGAGAGGA